GTGCAGTGGAGGCTCTGCTCGGTATGTTACTGAACAAACTCTGATTTTCCTTTGATTTCTCTGTTTAGGGTTTAGGTTCACTTAGTGCCTCTCTGATTGCTTAGGGCTAGGCTCAGACTTGGATCAAACTGAAATGAAAAAGGATGCTAGACTTTGTTGCTACTTGTTTAATTGGATTCTGAACTTTTGCAGGAAATTAGATTTAGTTGTGAAGTCAAGCGAAGATGTAAGGAGGTCTACAAGACTGGGACTCCAACCTTTGAGAAAGCCAAAGACAAGCCAGAAGAAGAAACCTGCTAAACTCCATGGGAAAATACCCAAGAAACCTGCCACTGCTTTCTTCTTTTTCTTGTAGGTATCTTCTCTCAGATGATTGCAAATTGTTTTTCTATAAATGCCTTTGTATATTTAGGCTCAGGTGACTTACATTACAGTTCTCTCTTTAGGGGAAATTCGTTCTACATTTTTCCAAAGTGTTATGTGCTCTGGTTACTTTTGATGAATTTCCCGCTTGCCTTATCTTTTGGTTCCAACAAGGGAGGATTTCCGGAAGCAATATCAAGAAGAGAATCCGGAGGTCAAGTCCATGCGCGAGGTTGTACAGAAATTACGTTTTGGTATTTCTAAGTAAAACATGGTGACTATTGCAGTTCACTTATTTCATTATGCTGCTGAATTTCTGCATTCTATCTAGATTGGGAAGACATGTGGAGAGAAATGGAAAACAATGACATACGAGGTAACATTTTTCCCAGTTACTTTCTTGTCTCTTAGGATTTGTTAACAGATTTTCTCTATCATCTTCCAAGAGTTCCCTCAATAACGTTGTTTGAGTCATAAATCTGAAAATTGTGATGATAAATTATAATCTCACTTAAGAAATGAAATGGTTCAATGTTTGCCACTATAGCGGTTGGATAGATATGCTTCTGAGTTCTGACCGGAGTCGGCTGTTGCCAGATTGCAATTTTGTACTTGGTAGTTCTGTTGTTCTTTTTGGCCAGCAATATTTCATTCTACTTGCATGGTTTTTGGTTGGGATTTCATAACCTCCAAAATAAATAAAAAGATATTTCTGGTTGAGACCTGAATGGAAGTTTCTAACTCCTAGATTGTTTATTCCTCTGCTGTTTTGTAGGAAAAGGTGAAGTATTATGATATAGCCACTGAGAAAAGGGAAGAGTTTCACCGAGCAATGACAGAATATACCAAGAGAATGGTACCCTTTTTTTTTCATTGTTCCTATGTCTTTGCTGAATATTTATCCACCTCAGTGTCCCACTGACGCGGTTGTAGAGCATTAGGATGAGCTTTTCATTTTTCTATTTACTTATGCAGGAATCGGGTGAATATGATGAATCAGAGACCGACTCAGATTTTTCTGAATAGATTTAACTTTTTACCACATCACGAAACATTGTTTTTAAGCCTTCTAGGATATGTTTGTATATTGGTGACATTTAGAAGTTTCTGTTTCATTGAGACATTCTTTTCATGATACTTATTCTTCTGTGGACTGCTCCTGGAGACCAATGGATGCTAACTAGTTTCTTGAGTGTCCAAAGCTTTTACCGTTTCTTTTTATTGTTTCTTGATTCTATATGAAAAATAATAGTAATTCCAGACTGCAAACTGACGAAAAGATGATCAAATTTTAGTAAGTCGACTTGAGATTAGTACAGACAAATTCCCAGGTACTTTTCAGAGTCTCAGTTACATTCATTTGATATCGAATTGAAAGTGTCACACCCTATAGATGAAGAAAATTCTGCACCAACAATATCTTTCATGTATTAGTAACTTCTGGAGGCTGATACAAAAATAGACTGTAGATCCAACAAGTCGGTCAAGTTATCTAATCTTTTTTCGCAGGATCCTTAGCCCTTGAAAGAAGCATGAGAGAAGACGAAGCCTGCATCCGGTTGGCTTGGCCTTGGATCCTACCATGGACTGTTTGCAACTTCTCTTTGTATTCCTTGAGTTCATCAAGTGTAAGCTTCTCAATGGGATTCCTGAATCTCTCATCCCCAGCAGATTCAAGCGTCTCCTGGCCCTTCTCGCCTCGTTTCTTCTCAGCTTCAATCTCTTGGTTGAGAAAATCGAGACGTTCACTCATCTTCTTCAGTTTAGGTCTATTATTACCACTTCCTTCTTCATCACCACTGTCAGAATCATCACATTCCCTCATGAATCGCTCTGCAACGGCATCAAGATTCGGTTTGCCGTAGGAGAAAGGCTTGCCTCCTGGTGAAAAGACGACAATACCCACCTCTGCGTTACAGAGCATGGCTAACTCGCTCGCCTTCTTGAACAAACCAGTCCTCCGTTTTGAAAAGGTAACCTGTCTTGTGTTCATGTCCTGAACCATCTCCATCTTGATCTTTCTCCGACCCATCTGTTTTCTAAACGGTGAGAATAAGAGAGAGAACGCCTCTTTTGTGAAGAAAACTTGTTTTTTTTTTTTAACTTGAAATTGGATTTCTCTATTTTTAGCAATGGAGGTGGAGAATTTTCGTTGAACCTAACAAGAGTATCATGTAGATACATGAGTGCAGATTTAGCAAGTTTTTAATTCAAAATCTTGAATTGCCTTACTTGAGCGTTGAATAGTTTCTAATTGTGTATTCAAACATTCACACGAATATTTAGAA